CGGTTGGACCGAATACGTACATATGTAAGTACATATACGTTGCTTATATACTCGTACATACATATGTTTGTGTGTACATATGTATGTAAAGCATAACCTTTTTAAATTAGCCTATCTCGCGAACCTCTACTCAGAATGACTGATCATGACGGCAAAGTTCAGAATTTTTGGGTGTGCCACGAAATTGATAGGCGGCGTGGTATGTGCGGAGTAGTAGGTGTAAAGCAGCGAGTAGAAATATGCATATGTATGTATTTGTACTTGAAAGCTTGGCTTAAACGCAATCACGTACATCTGAGAATGATGACTTCCTGCTTTCTCATTGGAGTTTGTTTATCTTTTCCTTGAACCCTTTACCGGCCAACAGCAAATGGTGAGTTGTATTGGTGTGGTGGAAAATATGCGCAGTCATGCATTGCTACCGAAAAGGTGCGGATTATCAGAAGCTTAGGCGAGTATTATAGGTTGAGCAGGAAAATGTGAAGGAAATTCTGTTAAATTTGTTTAAAAATATTTTCGAATAAAGTGCATGTGCTGTGTTGAACGTTTTTTTGTATTTCAAAGAAAAGAAAAAAAATTCTCGTTTCTTTCAAATCGAGTTAAAAATTCTTATTAGCATTAGTGCTTTGTTACATTATCTCATACACATATTTATATGTACATATATATGTATGTTTTCCTTGATGAATTCCTATTCTGTAACATCTTTACTACGCCTCCTCCAAATGCATTTCTACCTGCTTTCCCTGCGCTATGAGAGTGAGTGAGTATTTTTCCTCTACTTCTGCGGCTCCTCATGTTTTCTTGATTAATTATGTTTGTATGCTATCGCAACAACAATAACCAATAACATATAAGCCACATCTATTCTGACTGACGGCTATTCTTGAACAAGTGTTGGGCATCTTTTGTTTGTTAACCAAAAAAAAGAACGTTAAAAATAGTTTCATGTACGGCTATGTCTGTAAGTGAAAATGTAACCCCTTTCTTGTGTCCAATACAAAGTAGGGTCATCAAAATTGTAATTAAAGAATAGTTGTATAAAACTATAATACCATAAAAGGAAATACACATAAAAAATACCACAAAATTTTCCATTTATTTGGAAAATATTTTCCTTCAACTGGGGTCAACAGAGTTCAACGGCGTGGATATTTGCTTAATGCATTTTTGCTCTGTATACTTAGTGTGGTCTTCTTAGTAACTTTTTATCACTACCCGGACGCTTACAACAACAATATTTAAGCAATAACAATTTTAATAACTTGATTTTTATCATTAACTAAATAAGTTGAATCTTCCGTTCAGGTCTTGTTGTTTTCAGGGAGGAGGAAAATCATTTCGAATTAAGAAAACAGATATGAAGAAGTTGTACTCGTTTTACCTTTATCTTGGGAAGATAAGACGTTGACGTTCTTAGATAATTTATTTGGTGATAAGCGAAAGTGAGGTTAAAGTTGTGTGTGTCGTGTGAAAGATCAGAGACTGGTTTTCCCGTACACAGTTTTTTGAGAGCAGGAAGTAATTATAAATAATTCAGTTTGTATTGGACAAAAAAATAAGGAAACGCATTTTTGTTGAGACAAAATATAATGCCTCACACTCACTTAAAGGTTCAAGCCGCTCTAGGATTTTGGAAAACGATTTTTTTTTTTAGTTTACGGAGTACCTTTAGGTCCTAGAAACTATATGCAATTGGTTTTAAAGTGAAAAACATATTTCAAAATGCTCAACTTTTTATTTGGCTGCAGCCTCTCAGAGCGTGCGTTGAGTACAAGAAAAAACGCCTTTTTCTCAAAATCACATTTTTAAACTGGCGGACAGATTACTCGGATCCTATTGCATCGGTTTATGTGAAATTTTAATGGTAGCTTCATATATACATTTTTCTGGGGAAGTTCGAATAAGTTTATCGATTAACAGGCCTATTCTCACTGTTACCGGTAAAGTAAATTTTGTTACTTTTCTATAACACCCCAAATTGAATTTGGTATTCTGGCGAACTGGTTACAAAGTTTGAAAAAAATTTGGCAGCACTGCTTTTTCATCCATGTCAAATTACATTTGCCAGTTGATAAAGTAAAAAGGAAAATCGAAATGGAAGACGGTGCACAAAAAAATTAAAAAGTTTTATTAATTTGTTTATTAAATCATATATATTTGAGCCTAATTATGGAAAAAATGCTTGGACAACAAAAAAAAGCTGAATGAAAACGTTATCTTACAAATTAAAGGGTTTTTTTTGTCTCGAAAACTTCTTAAAATATGGCTTTTTGCACTCTTTTCTTCATCTTCAATGAATTCCAGGCCTAACTATGCGATGATTTTTTATTTTTTCTCAAACTTACAACACAAAATCAAATAGCAGATATTTTTGATACCCCTATTTCGCTGGTAACAAAATTTACAGTATGACAGTGAGCTCAGAATACGAAATGGTAACAAAAGTTACTAAATGGTAAATTTTAATACCAAGGTAAATTTTGTTTGTTTTTGAAATAATTTACCGCGTATCTTTTTATTAAAAATTAATCATTTAAAAAAAAAAAAGTGTGCCGCTTTCAAAAGAATTAGTTAAAAAATAAATTCGTACGTACTTCCAAACACCAAAGTTTGTAGATCATAAAACTTTTTGCTTTTCTGTTCCAGATCTTACCCTTTAGAAGAAGTCGGCCCCAACGTAGACGCGTTCCAAAAAATATGAATTAATTAATGGACTTTATCACCGCCATTTTGTAACAAAATAGTAATTAGGGAATATTTATTATGCTCCAATTTATGTTCAATGAAATAGTTAAACAAAAACTATATTCATTTTCCCATATTCATGCAACCTCTAGAAGCCTCTAAGCTACCTTGGAAAATGGGATAGAAATTATTACCCACAGCCGTATAATATTCGAGAAGTCAGTTTGTATGAAACGATCACCTGACCCCGAATACCTTTTAAAAAATTATGCATGGCGGTTATATAGTCAAAGACCGTCGGGATTCCAGAATTTACTCGCGGTAATGCATGCCTGCAAAAAAGGTGACTAAAATCTAAGAATTCCCAATTCGACACTGAAACGGCTCGGATTTTTATCCGCCCAAGCACTGTCACTTCTGCGATAATTCCCGAGAACCATGTCTACTATCAATCCCTGCCCATGTTGTATGTCGAAATGGGCCTACCCCACAATAATCCGGAAATTTTCTAAGATATTCGTACTTAAGGCGATTATATTCTACAGAAAAGCTGGATCACCTAACGGGAAATCCAGCACACGGGCTGTTTCAAGGGTACACGGACCGAAGGGAAAGAGGAGTTAGATAAGTTTAGTTTAAGGGGCATGAAAAGAGCAGATTAGTGTCATGTGGGGTCGGCATTATATGCAATACATACGTTGGGTATGTCGGGGTCACGTCTGGATAGCCAGGAATTCAGTCGATTGCAGTAATCAGATCTTAATTCCACCAGTACTACTTATGTCTATCGAGGCAGCTGGAGCACATAGATCTTTCGCTGCGCAAGTGATTCGTCGGTAGTATCAGGAGGTTACCGGTACGGTCCTAAGGGTTGTGTTCTGGTATGCTTGTCGGCGAGACACCAATATCGAGCATTCATCCGCGTATGGAAACAAAGAAACTCCATCTGGTAAAGGGAGCTTCAAAATGTAAAAACTACAATTAAGCGGGAGATGTCAAGACTTCGCGGAGCCAGTTGTTTAATTTTACCGTGCTTATATGTTTGATGTCGGGACTCTGCAGATGAATATCGAGCACTTACGTAGTTCATAGTCCACCTATTCAAGCCCGGCGATAATGAGGTAATCATAATATCCCATAGTAGCACAGAATGGTTGACGATGTCAAAGACTTTTGACAAAGCCAGTGTTACCCGTACAGTTCGCTCGTAGCGTCGGTTTTGATTGAGTCCACGAACTACTTGGGTGTTTATGAGTTTTGGTACAGTTGTGGTATTGTGCATTTTATGAAAGCCATGCTTATGTATAATTGGCTCCGATGGTGTGTGAAGGACGGCAGCAGCAAGGCACCAATCATCTTCGTTACTGGCGAAAGAAAAGATATCGGAAGATAAGACCCTGCTTTATTGTTGTTCCCTGGTTTCCTTGATTTTAGTAGTTGTACCACACTATCCAATTTCCACATATCGAATATCATTAGAGTGATTAAAGACAAATTGGGAACCTTGGTAAGACAACAGCTTGCGGTACGAACTAACACCTTCAAATAAAATATGTAAATTATAAATATTTCCACTCGGTCATGAGGTTTCCTCTAGTTATGTAAAGATTTTACAACGGCCCAAGAGTTTAGCTGCAAACAGAGATAATATTTCATGACTTTAAAAGCTCTTCCCATTCAGGCGATTGTGTTAATTTCTCATTTGTCCCTATCGCTTCTGTGAGAGACTCCGAGCAGACTTCCATAATGTCTTCTACAGGTATGAAGCAGGTGAGTAAAGTCGACAGATTACCCAATTAAGACAATTATGAGTAGAAGCCATGTCGTAATTAGTAGTGCAAAAATACAGGTCGTTGCGTTATAAGGACCGACTGTTGCGGGAACTATGGACTGATCCGTTGATTAGCTTTCTTATGATAACTATTTGTGATGGAAGGCGAGCTGTAGCAACTGGTCTTTACCATTGGCAGTGCATAATACCGAGCCAATTAATTGCCATAAGCTTTAAAGTCGTCCAAACCAAAACGGTCTTATCCTTATAATACACCAAAGAACTTCCAAAGAGAACCAGATACAAATCGCATTATTTTATCTTATATATTTCATTTTAGTTCGGCTCAAAACGGTTGGTTTTCGTGAACCCACTGTATGCTTGGAAAATATCAGCATTTAATTTTATTGGTTAATATCATTAAAACTCCTACTTAACTAAGAAAGAGAAAAACTCCAACGAGCTCTGTTTCGGTGAGGTGAGAATATTGTATTCGGTACATATATACATACATATATAAATACACTTTTTAGTCACTTACCTTTCCAGCTGCTTTCTTATAACGCCTAGTTGCTTCGTTTATCAGATCCTTTACGAGCAAATCGCCATTTCCACATGGAACAACAATGCGAATGGCACCAAAACAAACGGTGACCTTCATTTTATTGCTTCTTTAAGTTATTTCTTTTTTTAATTATTTTTATTTATTTATTTATTTTTTTTTTAGACAACAATTTATTTCTTTGCACGAAATTCACTTTTCTTTTAACATAAAACACTTGACACGAATTAGTTAACAATACTACGTACTACATACGTTATTTATAAAATCAGAAAAAAATATCAATTCTTTTTACTATTAAAATAGTATAATTTAAGTTTAGTAACTTTTGTACTGTTATCGCTGTTAGAAAAAAATTAATAAATTTTTAATCATATCACATAATAAATAACAAAAAAAAACAAAGAATTGGAAAAACTCGCGCGCCAGGCGTTCGTCTGATTGCAGAAAGGTATTTAAATAAGCATATAGAAATATAAGCAAAACAATACAAATGTACAGCCATTCATTATAAGCTGAGTGCATGATGTGCTGCCTTTGTGAAGAGGGTTGCAGTCACCCTACAAATTGCTGGGTACGAAACACACAGCGCCTATGGTGTTCACTGCATTACGTGTACTCGGAATGTACACAGGTATATACATACTGACATACCGAGAAATATGAATAGTTTTATGTTTGTTGGGATGAAGTTGCTGTGGTCGCTTCCACATAAATAGTGTGCAGCTGCGCTTTGCACACGGAAAAAATACGTTACACAAACAACACCACCAAGTGATTGTTGGCCAGCGCAGTTCCTGATACTACAGGATGGAATAAAAAAATGGATTTCAAAATCGAAGGATATTTAGCACTTGACAGCTGCACTACTTAGAGAATATTTATAAATATGCATATGCCGCATACTCATATACGACGAGTGCATGGCAAGTGACAAATCTTGTAATTAATGCACACAAAATATTTTAATTTAATTTTAATTGCCGGAAACTCGTTGCTTTCTGTATTTTTATTAATAAAAATTTTAACGAAAAGCAAACACAGCAAAAAAACAAAACAACTTTGTTTATGCACTTTTTCTAAATATTTTTTTTTTTTTTAAAAACCTCAGAACCTCAAACCCCAATAACGACACATTTAAAGCATATTATGAATCATTACAAATAAATGTAGTATAAAAAATACAAATTGCAAAATGGAACTCGCTGGCAGCAAAAACGTTCTAAGAGCGCGACTTAAAACTGGATTTGCCAGCGCACTGATTTGGGATCACAAAAAACTTAATAGCTTCAAAGGCTTATAATAAAAATTAACAAAAATGTTGTAATACTACAAAGAAAATTGGTAGTTTATTTACTTCATTTACTACACTTTGTTATTCACTTGTCGTTTTTTTTTTTGTTTTGTGTTTTGTGTTTTTCTTCACCAATTTCGCATTATTAACGTTTACATTTAGTTTCGTCGCAGTTGGTTTATCGTCGTCGGCACTTCTGGCATTTATCTTTTATCAATTCTTAGTTATTGCTTACTTTCTTTCTTCATTTTGCACTAACTCACACATAAACAAGTTCGTTGGTTAATTTTTCGCTTATATACATACATATATTTTATTGCATATTTTATGTATTTTTCGTTTTACTAAAATTCACATTATATATGTACATACATATATTTTTTTTTTTGTTATATTAGCAAGTTAATATCGTGTATTTCTTTTTTTTTGTTTTTGTATTGTATATACATATATATTTCAATTAGCAAGTGCCTTTTTATTATATATTAGTTAGTTTTCGTTTCCGATCTGTAAACGCAGCATTGCACTTTGCACACTATGAAAATTCTTTTCTTTTTTTTTTTGAAATTTTCAAATATCGCGTTCAACGCACACGCGCCATCCACTCCCGTTCGCACTCATGTCAACAACTCGTTTGTCACTTGGCTTCTATGGAATTTTGCCAGTTGCCTTGCTTCGTCATTTCTTATTGCCTCGTTTCTACTCGTTTCTTTGTTGTTGTTATTGTTGTTGTTTTTTCGAAGTCACAATTTAACGTCCATTTAAATGTGCTGCTTACGGGCTTTTGTTGTTGCTCTACTGTTTGCTGTTGTTTACCTACCTGTTCTCTGCTTGCGAGAGCAGCAGCAGAACTAGTTTTAATGTCAGCCAGAGTACTCGTTGACAGTAGGTTTGTTCGTTTGCGCAATGACGAGTGCTGCCGGATGCGGAAAAGAGGCAAACACTCTTGTTTGTTGTTTAAAACTATTTCATTTACATAGCACAGTAAATTACTGTGCAACATTTTGTGGGTGTAAATGCAACAAGCAGAAATGGAAAAGACAGAAAATACATATGTATATAAAATCTACAATTATGCCGGAATTTGTAAAAGATTCCTTCAAATATTGTAATCTTGTTAAAAAAAATTTTTTTACATTTTTCTTGTACATAAAAACTACAAACTACAACTAGCAAAGCAATTATGGCGTAGATATTGTAGAAAGTTATCGCGTGATCAAAACTCGAAAGTGCTTTTAAAGATTTTTTTTATAATAATAATGCACAAAAAATTGAACTTCTTTGTTTAAAAGACTGAAAATATTAAACTTATTTAAAAAAGACCAACAGGTTAAAACTAAGTAGTTTTTAATACCCTCAAACTAAAAAATAAACCTCCATTATCACCCTAATCCTCCGAGTTTGATAAATGGGTTGCCAAAAAATAGACCCAAAATTTATTTATAAACAAATAATCTACTAACTCTCTGATAAACACACAGTTTATTCCCTCGTGGGCACATAGTCCACTTCTTCTTTTTCACTTAACAGTAATGTTGTCCCTAACGCATTCTATAATTTTTACTTTGCGTTAGCCGTCGATCATATATACCTAACGGGTACTCGCATTCATACCTGGAGGCTTCTGTAAAACTGTTCTTGAAAACCTAGATTCGATACACGCGGTCTAGAAAATGTTTTATATATTGGTTTCTCTGTTTCATCAGTTAGCCAGCCTGTGTACATCTGACCCATTTATATAAATAGCTTGGATTTTGGTTTTACAAAACATTATAGTCTAGTAATAAAATAAATTGCATATCTACCGAGCTGTCACTTCTACTACATTTTATTCATTCACTACAGTGGTAACCCTAATAGTCAGCTGTCACATTTGTTTTGATTCGACGGCGTGCACATTAAAGAAATATCAAATTGTACTACTTTTTGGTAAATATTAAATAATAAAATAAATGATTGTTAAAATGAAACAAAGGCAAAGACGCAGTGGCCTACCGCCACCACCGCCAGTGGAAGAGTTGGAGCAAATGGCAACTGACGAACAAATGCGAAACTCAGGTAGCGAGCAAATTGACATGGAGAATTCGGAGGATAATAAGAAAGAAAAAGAAAACACCCAAAGTGGCAACCAGAGCGGAGATGAAAGTGATAACGACGATGGCGATGAAATGGATTTGGACAATTTCAATGTAAAAACTAAAAAGAAACGCAAGAAAGGCATTATTTATGTATCCAATATACCTAAACATATGAATGTAACGCGTATACGTGAAATATTGGGAGAATATGGGAAAATAGGCCGCGTCTACCTGCAACCAGAGAAATTACCCGGCAGTAAGTTACATTTGCAGTTTTTTTTTTTATTTAAACAAATTTGAACTGTTAACCACTTGCAGATAATGATAAAAAGAAGAAACGTAAGCGTCTGGCACGCCACTTCACAGAAGGTTGGGTTGAATTCGAATCAAAACGTGCAGCAAAACAAATTGCTGCACTCTTGAATAACAAACAAATATCCACCCGCAAAAAGTCACAATTCTATGATTACCTGTGGAGTATGAAATATTTGCCACGCTTCAAATGGGTACATCTCACCGAACGTATGAACTATGAACAAGCCGTGCATAAGCAACGTCTACAAACTGAAGTATCACATGCGCGTAAGGAGACTACATTCTTCCAGAACAATCTGGATAAAAGTGAGTTTCTGAAAAAGAAAAGTAAAAAGCCGAGTAAGGGCAAAGATTTTCCGCTGGAGAGTGCGTGAGTTCAGCGATTTTCAAAGTGTACAACAATAATACTTATAAGATTGTTTAGTATTTAAATTTGTTTTTTTAAAGAATGTGTAAAATAAAAGAGTGAACTATAAACAAGAGGAGAGATTATGTTTTTATTTTTGCTTGGAATGTGGTATAGAATGGTTAGAAACTCTAAAATTAAAGTCAAATCACTTGATAACCTTACAGGGGAATACATATTTAGCTGCAGTAACAAAAAAAAGGTCAATAGGTTATAAAATCGTCTAGTTGGGATACATGGGAGAGCGCAATGAGCCTGCTCAATGTGCGGTCGCTTGCAGTCAAGTTCTCAACCTCCCTCTTTCAATCAACCAAATGTCAGTACCAAATTTACGCTCACGACAGCCGGTGCTACACACCGGAGTTGACCTGGATTATATTCGGCCAAGAGCTGTCACACTCAAGCCGACCTAACCTCATTTTGCCTTACAGGTATCATTAGTCTAAGTGCATCAACGGAGAAACTCTTCAAAGCCCTCCTGCTCCAAAATGCATCGTCAGTGCTGGCGTCGAACCCGATCCTTTACCGACGCGCATACCACCATCGACTCCACCCTTCGGCTAAATGAAACCAGTGCAATGTTTGGTGTTATCTTAAGTCCTGCTCAGGCTTAAGCTCACAAAGAGAGTGATCCACGCGCTACGTTTCCCCTGCTGCCAGCGCTCAAAAACGCCCCAAGCTTTCACAGCAGTGCCTACAACAGCCTCACCCACTCCGGGTAAACACCCCAGACCTCTACGGTCTCATGGAGCTACCTAAATTTAAAATAATTTTTTAAAATTCAAAAATGGAGTTACGATAGCGCTTAACTCGCTATAGTGTGTACGCTGCTGTAGACGTCTTCAGAAAAGCGTGCCTGTTTTTAGGGAAACATTCGCTTAAATACTACAAAAGTATGATAATAAAAATCACCGGTAGTTTTCCGATCTTAGTGTTAGTAAATAACAAGGTGATGGAAACTTCCAGTGGCTCTCAAATATTTAAAGCTTTTGGCTTTAGCAGCAGCAATGGAAGTGGAACACAATTAAAAACGTATAAAATTCAAGTTATCGCATTTATTTTTATTAAACGATTTTTAATGGAATTTTCAGAAAGTAAATTTTTTTATTTGTTTTTTTTTTTTTAATTATATTTTTAACACTAAAAATATTTAAATATAGTACATATATATAATTTATGTTTCTATCAAGTTTTTTAAAACAGAGTAACACAGTGTTTATCTTAGCACAGCTTCATGATTAAGTAAAAAACCTTAAAAACTAAAATTTACTCAAAATTTCGATAAAAATTACAGCTACCTACACAGCCATGCCAAGGGCTATGCGGCACTGGAAAGGCAAGGACTTTTCATATGCAGATGTATATTAGATTATTAACTAAACACTTATATATGTATATATGTATGTATGTAGAGCTTTTTGATAAATCCACATATACTCGCATACATATATAGAAATATTTTTTTTTAATTTAGGCACTTAACTCACATGCATGAATACTCTCACCCAATTGCACTGGCAACAACAACAAACATTTTGATTATGATTACAATAACACTTAACACTACTTACACTTAAGTACATACAAAAACAATCAAACATACATATGTAGGTACATAAATAAATACTATGAATATTGACTTAATTGGTATTACTAAATATGTGTGTATGTATGTAAATATTATTTTCCTATTAATTCATATTTAATCATAAAATTCTTTTATTATCTCTACAATACTTTGATAAGTGCCGGTGGCAATGCCCAACAAGGCAATCACAATAATAGACATGTTCTTCAGATAAACCCAAGTGGTTAGACCTTTTGGGACACCAGCGCGCAGCACAAAGTCGAGTAGGACGGGGATTAGCAATGCCAATGAGGTAGAGCAGAGTGCGCCGATGAGGGAAATGAAGAGACCCAATTTTGGTACAATAACAGCGACACCAACTGTAAAGAGTAGAGAGAGAGAGAGAGAGAGAGAGAAATTGAAAATTTGATTGCATAATTTTGTATGGTTTATATAATAGAATTTGATAAATATATTATATATAAATATATACCTAAATATCAGGTGTACAACTTTGCTTCCGCCGTTTTTTCCCAAATTAAAAGCTTTTTTGCGAAAAAGTGCTTACAGATATATTATTCAAAGTATTGTCCTTCGCTAGCGACAACTTTCTCCCATCTTTCCGGCAATTTTTGATCCCGGCTCGAAAAATGGAGTCCTCTTTTGACGCTATCTATAAAGCAATCCATTTTTCCAATTCTTCGAAGGATTGAAAATGTTGATCTGCCAGGCCGTGTGCCATCGAACGGAATAGGTGGAAGTCAGAAGGGGCGACATCTGAGGAATACGTCAAGTGGGGTAAGACTTCCCATTTCAGCGTTTCCAGGTACTTTTTGACCACTTTTGCGACGTGAGGCTGAGTATTGTCGTGTTGGAGGATGACTTTGTCATGTCGCTTTTGATATTGTGGCCGCTTTTCTTTTAGCGCGCGACTAAGGCGTATCAGTTGCGTTCGGTAGCGATCTCCTGTGATGGTTTCACCCGGTTTTAAGAGCTCGTAGTAAATCATACCGAGCTGATTCTCTTCCACCACTCCCGATACGTTCTTTCACTCAGAGCAGCATCACCGTAAGTTTCTGAGAGCATTCGATGCGCTTCAGCTGCATTTTTTTTCGAACAGAAAAGAAAAAACTTCCCGCAAATATCGAGAATTAGGCGCATAAACGGACATTTTCGAGCGTGAATAATACGAAAACAAGAACAACTGTCACGGCCACAACGGCGATGACAATTCGTTGGCACTGTTCCCACTCACTTTAAAGGCATTATCATCTATGTAATTCAACCAGCCTCAGCCAGTACAGTCACTTATCGGAAAACGGCGGAAGCAAAGTTGTACACCTGATATTTTGTATTTTATGTTGGACGGGTCCGTTTGGGTCAAATGTTGTTGTTGTAGCTGTAAGTCTAACCCCGTTTAGAAGCTAGGAAGAAAAAACAAGGTCATCGCGGTCATCTAACGAGATATCTAGGCAACGTGTTCTTTCGAGGTGGTAAGTGTCGTGCGGAGACTCATTGTATGCTGGATAATACTGTTGGATATGTCGGGATCAAGTCTGGATTGGTAGGAATTTAGTGGACTGCAGTATTCAAATCTTAATTGCATCAGTATTGAAATATTGAAGTAGTAGTTGTTGTTGTAGCGGTTGATATACCCCGCTTAGAGACACAGTAGTTAGTCTAAGCTACCGTGATCATCTATCGGGAGGTCCAAGAAACGTGCTCTTCCGACGGGTTCGGATCAAAGGTGAAAGGGGGTTAGGTGAGTTGGTTTTAAGGGGCGTACAAAGAGGTGGTAAGGGTCATGCGGGGACTCGTTACATGCTGGAAATATATTAGGTATGTCGTGGGTGAGTTTGGATAGGTAGGTTCCTATTAGATGTCTGTTCGGGTGGTCCCTGTGGTAGCTCCTTAACTCGTAGCATAGATGCTTTACTGTACAAGTGATGCTCAGGTGAAATCAGAAGGATTCCTGTCGCAGTCTTAAGGGCGGTGTTTTGTCAACTCCGTCTCGTTTATACTCGGAAGCAGCATAGCTTTGTAGGTTGCTAACAAGGTTTCTGTGTCTTTATTCCAGCCTCTGCTGACTAGCGCTTTGAGTACTTTGATGCGGCATTTGCGGTCGCAAGCTGAGTGAACAAGCTAAGGCTGTTAAATGTGACTCCCAATAACTTTAGGTTGTTAGTGATTGGGATTTTGACGCCATCGATCTTCACATAAAGTTCGAGCCTGCATTCCTTCGTCCATCTAGTGAAAAGGGTAACGGTCTCCGGAATGAAAAATCGCAACCAGATCGATTATGTGCTGTTATACGAAGGACATATCTCCAGTAATATTGCTGTAGCGGCTAACTGAACCCCACCCAGGAACAGACAGAACCGGTCTATGTTGTCGAGATTATCTAACGGTTCCAATAAAACACGAGGTGACAGCTCGAAGGAAAAAAATACACGAAAATAAAGAAGCTGACGAAGCGTCTAAGTAGGGTGTCCTTTTAGAACAGGACGTAGTAATGAACTCATCAGTTCTCCAGACTTTGGGAACAATTGAAGGGCTGCAGAAAATCACTAAAACTGTATGCAAAACTTATGATAGTAAGCTTACAAAAATTTTACCAGGGCCGAAAAGGCCGGATTTTGGGAAAGGGAACAGCAATATTTTTCAAAATAGAGACACAATAAAGAGTGTAGCACATACATTTGCCTACGCGTTAGGGATCCAAAAATGTAACCGCGGTCAGGCATACCTATCGTAATAGGACCAATGGTTTGGCGAGAGTCGAATTTTTGTAACAGAATGATCAGAAGTGTCACTTCCGCATAAAACCCCTGAAAACAACAACAAAATAACTCGAGCTCTTGATCCGCTAAAGATGTTGTTTGGATTCCGAAAACTCCAAGAGTTCCATGAAGGTGTTACTCTGTGAATTGCGTTAATGGCCTGTCGGGCTGTTTGAAGAGAATCATATTTTGAGCCATTTATGGATATTTGGGCATCAGAAACGGTGAATACCGCAGACGATGGAATGATGACAATACTGACATAACTCAGCGGCTAAGCTAACTAGGAACTGTCGTCCGCATAGGCGTCTCTGCTCCAGCTTTGAAAGTTTTCGTTGTACGTTTAGTATCTGCCGGTGGAGGCCAAAGAAGAGTGTGACCTTCACTCCGTTGGAAAGATTAATTGGAGAAGGATGTGTATTCACTTAGTGCATACAATTGGCGGCGAATGGTGAAGAGAAGAAAAAAACTGAAGTACTAATGTTGACTGATGTACATAAATATATCAAAGAAAATTATGACGACCTTCAGCCGTTTCCTTTTAAAGATTTATACCACTTTCATTGCTGTTTACAGATGGATATCGATAATGCCAGTTGTATTCTTCAGACATCGCTACTCATTTGACGACTTGGCTGCATAAAATTTTATGCAGTTGCCATAAAGAATACCCAAACTGCTCTTAAATGGTTTATCATCTTGGGCACTCGACACCGCGACTAAGTACATTTTTTCCTTTACTAAATAAACATATTTACGCACTTATAGTGGTATTATAGTGTTTAGCTTTGGGCAATTAACAAATTATGATCGTAATTATCAGCGCACTTTATGATTGAATTAAAGCTCTGACGCAATAGAAGATAAACTAATTGACAAATGCGCAAAAACTCATTGAGACATTCTTTTCTTGCTTATTTTGTGAATTTTTTTTGCAGTAGTTTTCCATTATTTCATTATTGAAAGTCTTTTGTATAGAGGGTGAGGCATAAAATACCAGTTCTAACGGGAAAAGCTACTATATGTCACTTTGACAGGTTTCAGCTGACAGCTGTCAGAAATATAGCTATCGAGTTCTCTATGAAGGTTTAAATTTGAAGGCAAAGAAAAGAGTAAAAATTGATATACGCTGAACTGTTCTTCTTCTTTACTGGTGTAGAGACCACTCCGAGTCTCCGAGTTATAACCGAGTTAATAACAGCACACCAGTTTGGCGCCAATTGGAAATACTAAGTACACCACCTGATCCTTCCAACGGAGTGGATGTCTTCCTCTTCCTCGGCTTCCAGCGGCGGGTACTTTATCGAAACTTTCAATGCAGGAGTATACTTATCAATACGGATCACATAAACTAGCCAGCGCAGCCGCTGTTGCAATGTCGTTATATTGTATACCTCGTACAGCATATTGATCGATCGGCTGCGGTATTCGTCATTACCAACTGGTACAGGACCAAAAATCTTATGCAAAACCTTTCTCTCGAAAACTCTTAACGTCGACTCATCAGATGTTGTCATCGTCCTTTCGTCTTGCACAGTTCGGTCTTCATTTGTCGAGAGAAGTTTTCACTATTCAATTGCACCTGTTGGCAAGAGTGATTCTGCGTTGGATTTCCATATGTTGTTGATGTTAATACCTGTTCCAAGATAGATTAGGTTATCAACGACTGCAAAGTTATGATTGCCAACAGTGTCGTGGGTTGAGCCGAGTTGCGAATGCGATGACTGTTTGTTTGATGACAAGAGGGACTTCGTCTTGTCCTCATTCATTACCAAATCTAATTTATAGAATCACATTGACTGAAGCATTGTTTGGTATCGAACGTTCTCGGATTATAAAAAACCTTCCATCTCTCTATTGAAAACCTCCCAGCTCTGCTTCGAAGAGCCGTTGACATAATTACACAGTTTCTTAGCAAACTCTATAGAGCATTACGGAAAGATACGTCGTGGTTATATGCCGAACAGCAAAATTTATATTTTTTCCCAAAATAGGTAAGGCAGGACACCAGTAAACTAAGGACTATTTCCCAATCAGTTTAATTTCGTTCGTTCCGAAAACCCATTACATTGCATGATACATCTTCACATGAAGCGGTCTGCTCGCAAGAGCACAGTGCGTAGTGTAGAATCGGTTCTCGAAAATGGGTATAGGCTGTGGGCATCTTCCTCATCATTTCTGGAGCATTCAATAACGTTTTTTAATGGATGGGTGGGAATCACTAGAAATTAACAATGACTTCATCCACTAGTTACAAGTTTTGCTAAGCTGGAGACAGATCCAAGCATATTTAGGGTTAACCGTGGTGCACAGAGAAACTCCACTCTATTATCACCAGCGCTCTGGACCCTCTCGATTAAAAGATTGCTGAATAAGATGGAAGATGAAGCTGCCAAGCTTACAGTACATGCGGACGATATCTCACAGTTATCATGAGCGTTAATTGTTTGGCTCGCCTGAATCTCTGACGATTCGCGCTCTTACGAATCCTTGACCACTAGACTATTTCAGTAGAATTTGAGGTTAAGACCGATAAAACTGATCTGCAAATATAATACAAATCTCCAGCTTGAAGATGATGCCGCTTTACAGCTGAAACCTAGCACTAAGTACATGGGAACAGTGCTTCCACGGTGCTTGAATATGATGGAAGTCTAACATTTCAACACCATCTGCAGACTTACGTGCAATTTTGAGCATTCTATTAGCAAATATATTAGCTAAAAACTGCGTATTCCTAATTTATGCGAGGCTTTCCAAGTTGCGGGAAATGTGGGGAGCGTGTAGAGACAGTCGAGCACGTAATCTGTAAGTATCCAACATTTGACAGACAAAGGCTATGTTTACTTGGCGTAATATTGTCTAGATGAGACCCGCTGATTCATCCAGTTCAACCTAAACTAACTAACGTACGACTTCGGGTTAAAAGTTCAGCAATTAAACCGCTACAAAGTTTCATGACAGTCAAATCTTTATACCAGAAAGACCCTCCCCATCCCTACTATATCTCAGCTGCTTTTTAATACCAAAGAAATAATAGATGTAAATACTTACATGTACATAAAACCATTATGAAACGCAAAATCACTTGTACCGAGATGGGATACTTTTGCGCCATGCCACACGACTCCTTCATGGGCTTCCAGATGATCTTGATCAAGATGAAGAACTGTATGGGATAGCCAAAGAATACGCCCAATGCGGCGACGATCTTAACAACCTGCGACATGCTGCAATGAAAGGAAGAAACCAGAAAGCAAAATTTAGTTATTTTTAACTCTCTTTTCTTTACACAATCTCTCTCTCTTTCTCTCTCTCTCTCTCTCTTTCTCTCTCTCTCTCTCTTTCTCTCTCTCTTTCTCTCTCTCTTTCTCTATCTCTCATTATTTCTCTCTTTCCTTCTCTCTCTATTTATCTCTTCCTTTCTCACTCTTTCTCTCTCTCTCTCTCTCTCTCTCTCTTTCTCTCTCACCCTTTTTTTCTCTCCCTCTCTCTCTCCCCACCGCTTGCACGGCTCTTCTACTTACACATCTTCCGCGTTCAAATTTAATGTTATGCTACCATCCACCTCCTCACCCCAACGCATATAGCCAATGACACCGGTGAAGATGAAAATTGCCGTTATTCCCGCCATAGTCATATTCAAAACACCAAATCTGCTTGTGAAATTTTCGGGATTACGCATTTTATTGCGTAATGGTAGTATGAGTGCAATACCTTCGTAGGAGAAGAGTGCCGTACCAAAGAAGAGCGCCATTTGTGTGCCATTCGTGATGAGATGACGTTCACTGGGTGATGGCATAGGTCCCTTAAGTGCAATACCCAACGTGGCCAAGAGACCAAAGATTAACGAGAAGTTGGCCAACATCGATACGGGTGAAATATATTTCAGATTGGTGAGTAAAGATGGCAACATCGCGGGTAGCAGTGTAATCGCCATTGTTGTAGTCGCACTGATGTCGATGCCATTTTGTTGTAATACCTGTTATGAGAAAATAAAGGAAAAAGAAATATTAAATCGTGGAGCACATTTTCTAATAAACCTTACTATCTTAACTTATTAGTAAAGTTCCCGAATGGAGCAGCAGTTTCAAAATAGTAGATAGCTTTACAGTGCGCAGAGTCACGAGCTTGACTCCTGGCCAGAGAGTATCAAACCCTCCGAGTGTATTTCAGACCTTAAATAAAATGAGCTCTTTAAAATAAAGATCATCAGCCATTATGCGATTTTTCTCTCCACTGGTTGAGGAAACATCCAGACGCACACCACAAATTGGAGGAGTAGCTCGGTTACAGAACACGAAAAACTATTCGGGAACTGTAGAACTGATGGACTTGGAGTATTAAGCTGATAGAGACCTCATTCCAAGCGTACTTCTGATACAATTCAACCTCCGACATTGTAGCAAGCTAAACTACTTTCTATCAAGACTCTAAAATAAGACCTCGAATAACACAAGCCTTCTTCTTTTCATTTCACCTTAAAGCAGACAACTTTCCCTCCCTGTCGTAAAATCCCCACCAATCTTTCCGCAAAAAACTGAGCTAAGAGTTCAAAGCAGCCGTAATAGACAAGTGATTAACACAGCATCTGTCATTCGAAAGACTACCGCTCGAGTCCTGGTTCGACTAAAATTCAAGATTACAGAAAATTATTATTTTTTTTTTAATTTTGATCGCCCCTCGGCAGGGAATGTCAAACCAGTCGATTATATGCCGGATATGAAATAAAAACTCCTCATTGAAATCCATCCGCCGTTTGGAGATGGCTTAGACTAAACTGTAGCTCTCTCCATTTGTTGGAAAGACATCAAGCCACCCAACACAAATTAGAGAAGAAGTTCCGTCAAAAACCACTTCAAAGGTCGATAAATCTTTCTCGCAGTGAAAACCACGCCGAAATATTTCAAAATCATGCCATTACTTCTGGTCTCAGTTGGGTTTTAGTTGAACCCAAATATTTGCAAAGCAAATATAAACTAGTTTTGTGTTCCCTATCAAAGAGAACAGCAACGTGCTTCAAAATGGAGACACAGCAGTGCAGCACTTCGGTCGTATACGGAATTTCTGTTAACGCGCCGAACATCCATTTTGGAGTTCTCAACCAGTCCAAACTAACCTAACCGAGCCTGGGATTTGTTCAAAGAATTTGAGACAGCGCAGTAAGACAGACTTATGCTACCTGTAGACCTAAACGGGTTTAGGTCGCCGAAACGGTGACAGCCCTTGGCCGGATAAAATCCGGGTCAACTCCGGTGTGTAGAACCGGCTGTCGTGAGAGTTGTAGGTTAAACTCCTACCTATCCAGACTAGACCCCAGCATACCTAACGTATGCCCGGCATGTGGAGAGTCCCCGCACGACACTAACCACCTCTTCACATGCCCCCTCAAACGTACTCATTTAACCCCCCTCTCCCTTTGGTCCAACCCCGTCGAAACAGCTCGTTTCCTGGGCCTACCATTAGATGACCTCGGCGACTTAAACTGATTAAGCCTGTGCCTAAGCGGGGTTAGCGAACCGCTACAACAACAACAACAACAGACTTATGTTGCTCTCCAACAAAAAAAAGTGTCCGTAAAAACTATTGCTTCGAAGTTAATTTTTTTTTTCATTTTGAAACTCTACCCTAACCTAAAAACTTTATATGAATTTTAGCATATTCAATTTGTCCCACTCACCTGATGTAAATTCTCCGTAATAAATACGAAATATATCGAACAGAAACCAAATTGGGTTACACACAAGAATGTCTCTACAATTATGCGCATCAACTTTGATAATTTCCGCACCGGACGTGGACCATATTCAAATACTTTTTCTACTGTATCGGGATAATCGTAGAAATCTACGCCGGATGTCTTCTCCACCACCGAAATTGAACCGTCTATTAGCATACGTTCACAATGCACACAAATCACCGCTAAAATCGGCATCAGCACGGTGGCACCGACGAGACCGCCATTCTTGAAACAATCGCCCATAGCAAAGAGACCCGCACCGACGCTGCCCTTGAAGAGGTGAGTCGCTGTTTCCAGATTGCTGGAGAGAGTAAATGAATACATGAATGGAGAGAAGTTAGGAAATTAAATAGAAAAGAATTAAAAAAAAATTATAATTAAATAAAATTAACTAAAGAAATGAAAATAACCCTTAAAAAAATATAATTAAATTAATTCAACTAAAAACTAAAAAAAAAAATCACTCCGTATGCGTTTTATGCGAATCAGGATTGGTTGTGCTAAGAATTTTGTCAAACTATTTACATACATATGATACATACCTTGTGCGATGTGTCTGCTTGGCGCCACTACCCTCCAGATCTGCTTCGTTCTCTTTGGCGGTTTTGCCATTTCGCACCTCCACTGTTACGCCCATGTCCCGTTACTTTTTCACAATACTGTGTTTGTATGCTTATGAGGATATTTTTTTGCCTCTTAAAATCTTATCTGTCATCAATTGGTTAGCGAATTCTTGAGTTCTTTTGTTTACAAGTGCCTGTCTTCACTTAATAAACAAAACTTATCTCGTTCTTTTTTATTTGTAATATTTTTTTTTTTTTAATTTCTTTTTTAATCTTTTTGTCTCATAATATTGTTTATTCACGTGCTTATCTTATTGTTGTGATTTTTAACTTCACTCTGACAACTTTGACAGGTGGTTTGTACGGTGTAACGGTTAATGCTGCAATGAGTTCGCTGGAAAAAAGAGTGGAAAAATATTTATTAGTTTCTTTTGCCGCATTCGTTGCTGTTGTAATACGTATTTAAGTTAAAAAAAAAAAGATTTGAGTAAATGTTTTAGTGAATAATTGAGCCGAGAATTTTTGTTGTGGCGTGGGGGTGTTGTGTATGTAACGGAAATTCTTAAGGTGGTAGAAAATTAGCTCCGCGGTTAGTTTAAGAATCAAATTCAAGTTAGTTTTTAAGCGAGATCTCAAGTTCTCAAGCGAGATCTCAACTGCTTGATTGAGATCCGGAAATCAAAACAAATGGAACCAAGTCTTCTTCTTTATTGGCGTGGAAGCCTCTTACACGATTAAATATTTAAATTTTAATTACGGTTGCCCCTCAGCAAAGTACGTAAAGCTCTCCGAGTGTATTTCTGACATGAAGATTAAAGCTCCTCATGAAACTCTATAGACCGTTCGGAGACGGCTTAGGACAAACTGTAGGTCCCTCGATTTGTTGGTAAAACATCATTAACAGTAGGCGGAGCTCGAACGAAAATAACTTGAGCGTATTCTACGACGCAGTATATCTTGCACAGTTTATGGTACCAGCTGTCGTATATCTTCAACAAAATCTTGCTCTCGAAATCTTTTATCATCGATTAATGCTTTTGGTAGTGGTAAACTTTCATGGCTCTGAACCATATAACGGTACAGATATGGTGATCGCGTGGTAAAATTTAGTGTTTGCTCATGAGAGAAAACGTCTACTTGGGTATAATGCGCTGTAATCTTGCTCCTGGGTAAGCAATAGCAGTTGTAAGATTATACTAGATTCCAATTCCCCTGTCCCATACCCCGGAAACGTGAACAACTTTAATGTGAAATGTGGTAATTAACCGGTGTTGAGCCTTTGGTCACTACTAAAAGAGAGAATGCTTTAGAGCATCTACTACTTCATAAACGAAAAGGAAACTCCTTGTCTAAAGCCTCGTTTGGTATGGAACAGTTCGGGTCCTGACCGAGCTTTTGGTGTTACTTAACGTCAGCTTACATTACCGTATAAGATTTGCGATCCTCTTTTCACGGGTATTTTCCAAAATTTGGCTCATGGTGAATATGACATGACACTGATAACGTCCAATCACTTTGTTTGACGGCGGCCTTCGCCTTTCACACATATATGCTATAATTAAGAGACTAGTTGCACGGGAATCGGCGCAGACTTAGGTTCCCATCGTCAAGCATGTCTTCAACCGACCATATTTTGCAAAGAAGTTGATTCTTACACCTTATCAGTTCCTCACCACCGTATTTGAAGAAGTCGGCCAGCAATTCATCGCCTCCGGTAGTTTTGTTGCTTTTCAATCGGGCGATTGCTGTTCTCAGTTCTTCATCGAGACGTGTTCGCTATCTCCGGATGTTCCATTTTCACTACTAAACTCTAGAGTATACTCTGAGCATTAGTCACTTTCTACGAGAGCTTGCTCTGGTCTTGAAACCTTCTGTAAGCCGCCAGATTTTTTCATAGAAATCTCGAGCATTACTCTTGTCTGCCAACTTGTCTATACATGCGTCTCACTGCTCCGACAATTCTTGGTATCTATCCCACTTCGCACTACGTACACGTACATCCTGTTTACTCTTCACTGCGGCACATCAAGTCTTATTGTACCAGCAGTTTTTTCGAGCTTGGAATACTCTACCATAGTTCTTTTGTACCGAGTTTTTATTGAGTGCTCTCAGATAGCAAGAATGCAAGTCGAGTAGAAATCTCTTCGGCTGTCTGTTCTGATTGCTGCTTTTTGACGTCGAACGTTCCTTCATCCACAGGGGTGAAAGGCAGTACTCGGCCTCGGAGTCTCTCTCCCACTACGAATCCGATATCAAAATTGTCGTTGTAGTAAATGTTACAAGTGCCTCCTTGTCTTCATCTTTGTCACGTCCATTACACTCTTTGGCGGTGATGTCAGTCTTTTTCTTAAGAGGACATCAACCAGCTGGGCATCGGCACCTTCCCAAATAAGGGATCGGAGATTCCAGGTTCATACCTTTTTATTAATCTCGTAGTCCATAATACATTTGCAGTGGTCGTCATCATAAGTGAGGTATCTCAACCCAGGCATAATTATCATTTCATCGTCATCTCTCAAACCCCGTGCACAATTTCGCTTGGCGAGTGGTGGCATTGAAACATCCTCTTTTTTAGCAATGACCAAAGCCTCCACTCGGATTGGTTATCGCATCTTGGAAAAGTATTGTTCACGTTACCTGGGCGCGCGGCGTGGGCGCAAGATTGGTAAGTGAGTGTAGTTCCGTGACTGTAACTGCTTACCCAGAAGATTGACTACATCCTGTTACATCTCCCTCTCCTAATAAGATAATGATAATATAAAAAATAAAAAAAATTCTCTTATAGCCGAGTGGTTGGCAGTGTGTATTGCCATTTGGAAGGCCATCGAAAATTAACTTTCTCTATTGTGGTCACCCCTTGGCAGATAATGTCCTGCCCCCCGAGTGTATTTGCAATAATATTTTCTAAACCTACGTAAAAGTGGATAATTCGTCTTTTTTTTAACCATATATATGTACACAAATGTATATATTATCATAAATCACAAGAGTATATCAATTAGAAAACAGTTATATATGGACGTGGAAATACTCTAAAGACATTTGTTTGCATTCCTATCAGCTGTTGGTTTGACAGTTGATTGACAGAACAACGTGATCGTAAATTATCGACTTAATGCAACTAACTGAAGATAAAGCCACAGTAATTTACCAACATAAAAAAATTAATTATTATTTTCTTTATTTTTTTATTTTATTTTTATTTTTATTTATATTTTATCATTCTTATTTCAATTTTTGTGTGTTAAATGACGGAAGACACTGGTTAAGGAAATATATATATGTATATTTTTTATATATTTTTTGCACTATTTTATTACTTCAGTTCATTGATTTTTTCCACAAATATTTTCCCACTTTTTTTCCATTCACAAATTTACTTGTACTTAGATAAAAATTATATACATACATTTATATATTTTTAATAAATTAAAATTTATTTATGAATGGCTAAAGAGCCGGACGCACACATTTCAGTGAATGTATATGGGTATTTTGGTTATTATTATAAAAAAAAATTATGAATGAATATATGAACTGCATATTTTTTGAGTTTTTTTTTTTTCTCGCGGTTATCTGGAGATTTATGACCGACAAATTGGTTAAACTTATCGGTTAGGCGTGCAGTTCGCCTGAGTCAATTAGTATGTCGGGCATTAAGGAGATTTGATAATGTAGATGAAGCATGCTTGTATGTATATGGATGATTAATTTTATATTTATAATAATTTTAAGAAAAAGTTTTTTTTTAAGTAAATTTTGCTGGAAATTATGATTTATTGTCTATTTGTATTTGGTGATGAAAGCGAGAGTTTCGCGAATTTATTATTGTTACAATAAAAACTATATTTGTGACAATTTTTCTGTATAAATTATTTCAAAGTGAACTAAATTAGTTGAATTAGAATATAAGACAATAATACGTATATACACATATGTATATATGTAATTAAATATTAGTATCTACAATACTTCCATTTAATTCTTAATTATCCGTATGTGCTTTCTACTGTTGCGAAGGTCACAAATCTTACTAGTTTAAATTGTTTCTTAATACAAAACTATTCTTTTAACAAATCAATAAACAAATATGGTTTACATACATACGTATATATTTGCTGAAGTTATTTTTAAGGTAATGGGCTCAGCTGCTAGTCAGAAATACAAGTTTTTTTTCTCCGTAGTTGTATTTGAAATTCCCATATACATACGTGTATGTATGTACATATATTTATTAAAAAAGAAAAATCGATTGGTATTTAAACATAATTAGTTTATGATTTTGCAATGCAACTAATTTGAAAATGTGAAATAGAACAAAGCAAAGAGATATATGCACTAGTTTATCTTTTTGTAATTTTTTGTTATACCAGTTCATAACAGTAAATAACGTTTATTATATTTTCAACGTACACATTTCAATTTTTTACTTAATTTTTTTTTTAGTTTTTTCATTTTTATTAGTTATAATTTATTTATTTTTATTTAAGTTCATTTTATTTTATGTTATTTAATTTAATTTAATTTATTCTTATTTCTTTTACTTTATATTTCATTATCTAATTCTGTATTACTTATTTTAATTTTTTTTAATTTAATTTATCTCAAAAAAAAAAAAATTATTTATTTAATTAATTAAATTCAATTTTGCTTCATTTCGTTTTATTTCATTAGTGCTAATTTTATTTTATTATATTTTTGCTTTATTTTATTTTATATTATTTTATTTTATTTTATGACATCTTGCTGATTTTTATTTTTTTATTTAACTTAATTAAACAAATTTTATTTATTTAGATTCAGTTTTACTTAATTTCATTTTTTTTTTTAATTTTGGTATAAATTTGTTATTTCACTTTTTTGTATTTATTTCATACCATTTTATTTTATTTTATTTTTATAAATTTTAATTATATTAATTTATTAGGTAATTTTATTTTATTTTAATTTATTATTGATACTTTTACTTCACTTAATTTTCATTTGATTTAATCAAACAATTTTTTTTTATTTATTTGATATTAATTTTATTTCACTTCATTTTAATTTTATTATATTATTTATTTAATTTTTGTTTATTTTTTATTTTTGATATTTTAATTTACAATTTATTTTATTTTATATTATTTTATTTTTTTTTTGTTATGTTATTTCATTTCAATTCGATTATTTAATTTTATTTTTGTATATTATTTATTTATTATATTTTATTTTTTTTATTGGATTATATTTTATTTTATTTAATTTTAATTTACTTTACATTATTTTATTTTGTTTTAGTTTTTATTATTTTATTTTATTTTATTTTTTATATCATTTGATACAAGTTGTTCACCCTAGTATTATATTGTTTTCCGAGTTTTATTATCTCTCACTACCTGAGGGACATAATTAATTTCTTTTACGTGATTAATACATATGTATATATATATATATATTAATATGTTTTATTTGGTTTATTGGCATTTTAGAGCGAGTTAACCGTTATCGTATTCCTAAGAACACATTGACTTGTATATATGGATCTACTTGAAAGCGATTCTGATATTTAATGTAGATTAATTTTACTTTTTGGGAATTTGATTTTCTAATTAAATGATGTATTTGCAATAAAGTATGCCTCCTGTTTCCTTTAAATGCAGAAGAGTAAATGAGAATAACAAAATAATAATAATGGTATATTTTATACCAAGCAAAAGAAAATAAAATATTATTAAATGAAAAAAAATTAAATAAATGAAATGAAATAAAATAAAATAAAGTAAAATAAAATAAAATAAAATAAAATAAAATAAAATAAAATAAAAAAATAAAATAAAATAAAATAAAATAAAATAAAATAAAATAAAATAAAATAAAATAAAATAAAATAAAATAGAATAAAATAAAATTAAATAAAATAAAGTAAGATTAAACAAAATAAAATAAGATAAAAAAAAAAATAAAAAATAAAATAAAACAAAGTAAAATAATCCCAATCAAATGAAATAAGATGCAATTGTTTTTTATAAAATAAATAAATTGATAAATGTGGTTTAAATCCATTTAAAAAAAAAAAAAAATTAATAAAATGAATAAAATGTAATATAATAAAATTAAAGTAAATTAAATTAAATAAATAATTTTAAAATTTAATAAAATAAACTAAGATAAAGTAGAATAAAATAAAAGAAATAAAAAATACGTTCAAGTCGGTTTAAGGTACAACCTAACCTAAACAGTTTTTGATTAATTTCCCGAAACAAACACATATAATAATATATTCAATTCAATCTTTGGCTTGACATTCATTCATTGAAGAATTTTAAATTCTCTTCCGGCCCACTCACCCAATGAGTGTTCTTTTTAACAATTTTACATTAAATTAAAAGTACATAAATTACAATTAACCCACTTTCGTTGAAGCGATTTCTTGTAATTATCACCTAACTTAACAAAATATAAGCAAATTAATTATTTAATAATAGTATTGACTAGTAACATGATTAGATATTGAAACTCTCATGAAGATATGGTTCACATGATGGTGAATATAAACAAAAACACATATACGTACGTTTAAAGGAGTATATTTTATGAAAAAAAGCTTAATCAATTTTTTCTCAAGTATGTCTGTTTAACACAATCAATTTTGATCAAAATCAAAATTTTCAACAAATTAGTATATTATTACCAGTGACGCCACAAAACTCCTGTGCAACTATAAAAAATAAATAATTATCACTACCATGCCGTTGTGCTCTTGTTGTTAACTATGACAGCGAAGTAAATATGATTATCTGTGACTTTAGATTATTATAATTTATATATTTTTTTCTTTTTTAACAAAAAAAAATATATGTATATAATTCAAAAAACTAAAAGAAAAAAAAAATTGTGTTTACCGATATTTCAGTCATTATAGCTCTCATCAGTGGTAATTGGTACATAAATTTTGTGATTTAACTCAAGTGTTAAGTGAAAAGTGTGATTAGATTTATGAGTGTAGTTGTTCTTATTGTTGTTATCATTCGATTAGCTATGAATTATTATTATTAAATGAGTATTTCATTGATTGAAAGTAGTTTTCATACAGCATGTGTTACTGATAATAATAATAAAATATTAAAAAAAAATATATTTTATATATATGTATGAATAGATTTGAATAAATTTTGAAGTGGCTTCGGAAATCAGCGATATAATCTTGCGCATTTGTATTGTTGTATGTATTGTATATCTATCGAATCACATGAAAATCATCAAATTTTATAAATTAATTTTTTTTTATATTTTATTATTGTTTTTTTACGGGAGCTAGATTATTTTAATTTAAAAAAAAATCATCAAAAATATGCAAGTCACTGCTTACTTTTTTTATTTTTCAATTGAATATCATTGCAAAATGTTAACTCAAATAATTAGATTCAATAAATCATTATTTAGAATCTAAATTTTAAGGAAATAATTTTTCTTCTGGTGATATATTTTAATACTAAAAATGTCAAAAATAAATGTTTAGCTCTCCAATTGACTCAGAAACTCGATACACATTTCCACTTGTTTTACTGTAATTTTTGATAACATTTTTCTTCGAAGATATTTTAACTATTTTTTAAGTGCGAAAATATCAAATTGCTGATCGCTGATTAGTTATTTCCAAAATCTATATATGCTTACATGCAAATATATTTATACACATAGTATTTTCTTGCCAGATTTTGATAAGATTTCTTTACGCTTGCGTAATTTGTGATAAAATAATTCAAGAACAAAAATATCAATGTCAAGATAAATATTATTTTTTTTAATTTTTTACGTTTATCTCCTCATGTTCTTCTTAGTAAAATTTAAATGCCCTTCATTTAGAGCTCATTACCGCGGAACAAAATAAATCAAATAAAATTATTTTGAAATAATAGACAAAATGAAAAATAAAATAAAATAAAATAAAATATAATAAAAAAAATAAGGAATAAAATATAATAAAATAAAATAAAATAAAATAAAATAAAATAAAATATAATAAAAAAAATAAGGAATAAAATATAATAAAATAATATTAACTGAAATGGAGCAAAAAAAAAAACAAATTAAAATAATATGAAATTAAAAATAAAAGAAAATTAAAAAATAAAATATTTTAAAATAAAATAAAAAAAATAAATAAAATAAAACGCTATAAAATTAAACGACATAAGAAAAACTGAATTCAAATAAAATAAGATAAATAATAAGTTTTATTCAATATATTTAATTAAACAAAAAATTATGGAGTAAAATAAGAAGCCTATTAATTCTAATTAAATAAACTACATTATTATACAATAAAATGAGTTCAAATAAAATAATATAAACTTAAATAAAAATTAAATAAAATGATATAAATCAAAATTAAAAACCAAAAGTAAAATAAAACAAATTAAAAAAGGAAGAATTAGAATATTATAATATAAATAAAAAATAAAGCTATACAAAGCAAAATAAAATAAAATGAAATAAAGTAAAAAAAAAACTAGAATATAAAATTATAAATGAAAGAAATGTTAAATGAAATAAAATAAAATTAGGTAAAATAATTTATAATAATTATATTAAACGAAATAATGAAAACTGAATTAAAGCAAAATAAAATAAAAGTAATACTAAATAAAAATAAGTTAAAATAAATTAAGAGAAAAGATTAAAATAAAATAAAGACAAGAAAATAAAATAATATAAATTTAAATAAATGAAAAGAAAATAATATAAATTAAAATAAATAAAATTAATTATAAAATACAATGACAATTAAAAAATTAATTTTAATAAAAAAAAATTAAATAAAACAAAGTAAAATAAAAAACTTAAAAAATAATGAAACAAATAAAACAAAGTAAAATAGTGCTAATAAAATGAAATTTGAAACGATTGATTTTTGTAAAATAAATAAATGGTTTAAATAAATAAAGAAAAAAATTTATGAGATGGAATCAAATGTAATATACTAAATATATATAAAATAAAATAATACAAATAAAATTAAATTAAAACAATTAAATAAAAAAATAAAATAAAAATAAAGAAAAAAAGGTTTAAAAAATTTAAATAAACCAAAATAAAATAAAATTAAATACTCAATGAAGAAAATAAAAAAAAATAAATTAAGAGAAAAGATTGAAATAAAATAAAAACATTATGAAAAATATTAAAATAAATGGAAAGAAAATAATATAAATTATAATAAATTTAACTAATTATGAAATACAATGAAATAAAATAAATATTAAAAAATTAATTACATTTTTTTATTACTTTAGCAAAATTCTAGAAAAGCTGAATATTTAACAAAATACTATCATTAACTTTGAACAGTTATAAGCAAATATCCGTATTTTAGATTTTTTAAACTTTTAATTATTTGTTATTATTATTATTTAATTATTTGACCATTTAAATACATCGTCAGTAATAGCTTTTATATAAAATGTTATAATTCTTCCGCTTAAATACATGATTGAGTATGTCTTATTCATGAAAAATGATAATGAGAATGAGAAATTACCAAAATTTTTTTCACAAAAATTTCAAATGCTCAATCCAAAGCAACATTGTAAGGTTTTTAAGCTTTAATTGCATTTGCCTGCTTTGATGCACTAAGATTTTTACGGCAATAATTAACTGCTTTTATACATTTTTCGTATTTTTTTTATTTTTTTTATTTTTTCTTTTTTTTTACAAAATCACCGTTGTGAAATTTGTACATTTTGTGCACAATTTAATTAACATGCATACTGCGCAAATCGTAATTTTTATTGGCATACACAAATTACAAAAAAAAAAAAATTAAAATGAAACAAACACTTTTTATGCAGCAGCCCCAGCATTAAGTTGATCGAAGTAAGAAGACAACAACAAAAAATGGCGTTATTAACATACCAGAAATATTCATCAGCACACAAGATCAATAAACGCGTTAAACTGTACTTTATTTGCACAAAAAAGAATTGCAATTACAACAAGTAAATAATACGTTTCGCCTAACGAGTGCAGGTGACGACGCATTGTTGTTTTTACCTGGTATTTATTTTATTGTATTAAAAATATATGTAATATTTTTTATTAATTTTTTTAATATTTTTTTTCTAATTTCATTATTTCTATTTTATTTTTATAAGGATTTTTTTTTAATGAATTTCTGTTATAATATAACATTTATTACCTTTCAATTGTAATTATTTAATCACGCTCTGATTTGTGGAATTCTAATTACTTAGCTTACACTAATCATATAATTTACACTTATGTATTAAACCAGTTTTCGTTTTCAATTCACAGGTTTCTAGTTACTTTGTTTATATATATTAATTTTTTTTTTGAAATATTATTTCATTTAGAACGTTGTTCGCGCCTCTAAATACCAGCGGGAACTGAACCGCACCAGAGCCGCAGCCAGCCATATATATGTACATACATATGTACCAGTATGTGTGAAAAACCCCAACTTGCATCTGGCTGAAAGCGTCAACGCGCGCGAAATCACTCAAGTAAGCCGCTCACTCCCAGTTACGCGTTTAAAAGAATCACTCACAACAAACTCAACTCCAAAACTAAATCACATAAAAAATTCACTCGATTTGCGTTGATAACGCGTTGAGTATTTTAGTGATAACTGCTAACGTGGAGCCGGTATATGTGGAAGTGTGCTTGTGCGTACACTATGGCGGCGCGCCAACCATCAATCTACTAAAACAGAATGTACAATGTATGATTTTTTTTAAATTTTGTTTTTTGGCTCGTGCAATTTTTGTGCTTCTTCTTACCGATGCGTTTTATGCCATTATTTATTTATTTATTTATTTTCGGTCGGTGCGAATGATGCCAATCGCACGCGTTGCACATGAGCCAAGAGTGTGGTAATAAATAAAAAAAAAAATAAATGAAAAGACAAATAAATTAGATAAATTAACTATGTACAAAAAATAAATAATAAAAACACATTTTATTAAAAAAAAAACATTTTAGTGGCAGTGAAACTAAAAACTTAAAATAAAATTGAATAAAAAAATTAAAATAGATTATATAAAAGAATAATAAAAAATAAAATAAAATAACATAAAATAAATTAAAACCAAATAAAATAAAATGAGGTTACATTAAATTGAATTAAATAAAGTAAAATAAAGTAAGAAACAATAAAAAAATAATAAAAATTTTAAATATATGAAAAGAACAAAATAAACGAAATTTAAATTAAATTCAATAAGAAGTAAAAATTAATAAATTGAAATAAAGTAAAATAAAATGAATTAAATTAAATGAAATGAATCAAGTAAAAGAAACAAATAAATAATAAATAAAATGAGATAAGATGAAATCAAAAAAAAAATAAATAAATTGAATAAAAAACACAAGATAAAATAAAACTAACAATATTAAACAAAATAAAATACGTTCAATAAACTAAAAGAACAAAACCTAAAAAAAAGAAAAAAAATAAAATATATAAGAAAATGAAAAATTAATAAAGAAAAATACAAATAAAGTGAATAAAATAATTTAAAAGTAAAAAAGAAATATTTAATTAAAACTAAATTCATTAAAATAAAATAAACTAATATAACCCAATAAAAAGTGCAAAAATCCAGTTTATTAAAAAACAGTTATAAAGAATAAAACCAATTAAATTACATGGTGTAATTAAATTAAATAAAAACAATTAGAACAAAAAATTAAAAATAATGAAAAAATAAAAACATATAAAATTACAATAAAATAAAGTAAAATACAATAAATTAAATCAAATGACAAAAAATTAACAATAGAAGAAAATAATAACATTGAATAGAAGAAAGTAAAACATTTAATATAAAATAAAATTATTTAAAATATAATGATTTAAAAATGAAATAAATAAAATTTAATTAAGAAACGTAAATTAAATGGAATAAAAATTACTTAAATTAGATATAACAGACTTAAAAAACTAAGTAAAGTAACTAAGATAGAAACCAAAATAAAATAAGGCAAAAATGGAAAAAATAAAATAAAACAAGATCAAATCAAAATCTAAGAGATAATAAAATAAAATATAGATAGAAAGAGACTTTTTAAAACAAGAAACAAGAGCTATCTTTCGCCATGCTGACGCTTTTCTACATGATATAATATTCCGATTTCGATGAGTTTCAATACCAATTTCTGAAGATTCCTATATTTTGGTTCTTCGATACCTTATTATAGTATTTATGATTTGAAATTACTTATTCGAACAAAGGGATTAATTCGATCGGTATAAGTTTTGATGGATCTATCACTTCTCCTCCTGGCACTTACATGCTTCGGGCCAAAGTTAATAAGTCATAAGGCTTAAATATTCCTTTTACGTCACGTTTTACGGTTAGATTTCATTACTACAATATACGTGCATACATATATAATTACCAAATGCAATAGGAATCCAATTTACATAAAATACGTCATATAAGCCCCCTTTAGATTTAATAAAAGCAGAAAAACCAATGCTTATAAACATATTTTAGACTTTGACCTCGAACTTGAATTGAATGGAAGTGGCGGAATAACAAATCAATGTGTGAGCAAAACAAATACTCGATTCTTCTTCCTGTTACGTACGCTTTCATGTATGCGAAAACATAAATAAATGCATAATAGGGTGGTTAACTTATAATTTTAATTTTTCGTAATTTAATTTGATAATTCTTCAATTATTTTTAATGCTTAAAAATATGTTTATTTTTGAAATTCAGTTTTAATATTTTCTTAAAATATATTTATAATCATTAAAAACATTTATTGACCATATAATTACAACACATAAAACTATTAGAATGAAGAGTAAAGATGCTTTTAGTGTAAATTAAATTAAATTAAAAAGTAAAAATTTAATAAAAAAAAAAGCAAAGAAACACTAAAATAAAAAATATAGATAAGAGTAGTCAGCTCATTCGAAAATGAAGCTTATGACTCGCTTATAAAAAAAAACTAAACACATGCATGTTTATTTATTTTTGTCTGAAGAGTGTATTAAATAAATTCGCGATTTTTTTAATCAATTAATTACATGCCTCTTGTTAAAAGAAGTCTAAGTGCAATTAATACAAATTCCAAAATGTAAATAGTATCTACCCTAATGCTTATGCTACATATGTAAGGGTTTTAATTACTCACTTGGAGAATACGCGCAATGAAATTTAATGACGCGTCGCTTTATTCATTCACCAATTACTATTTGTACATTTTTAAAATGTATATATAAATAAGTGTAATTGGAATGCAAAAAGCGCACAACAGCGAAATTATATATAAAGTAGAATATGTATTATTTACTCGTATGTATGTATATACATATGTGGGAATCCGCTCTGGAAAGGTACACACGTGCGTATGAGTAGCAAAAATAAAGTCATCAATGAAAACAAAAAACTTAATTGGGTATGTACGTATCTATGTGTGATGACACACATATTCACGCGTGTGTATATGTTAGTTTATTACAAGTAAACATCTTTGATAGCAAGTATATGTATATATATGAAAATGTAAGTGCTCATAAATACATACTTATAATTGTGTACCTTTTGCGTAGAAGCATGCGAGTTTTCCACGCGCTGCTTGAACATTTTCAATGAAACAATTTTAAACAGTGAAGAAACTTAATTTTTTAATTTTAAAAATATTCTAAAAATTTTCCTATATTTATTTTAATATCTTTAATATTATTTTACTTTTTAATTTAATTTAATTTTAATATAGACTATTTTATTTTAAGTGTTTTTTGTTATTATTTTACTTTACCAAAGCAAATAATTTCGATTTAACTAAATTTGCTTTAATTTATTAATTTTCTAAAAATTATTACATTTTTTTAAATCTATTTTCACTTAATTTGTATTTTATTATATTTTATTATATTTTATTTGTTTTACTTTGGATTTATTTTATTATATACTATTTTATTTTAAGCCTGTTTGTTTAAAAATATATTAATTTTTAAATTTTATTTTATTTTATTAAAGCAAATAATTTAGCTTTAAATAAATTTATTTTTTTTATTAATTTTCAAAAAAGACTCCAAAATTTTATATTGTTTTTTTACAGTATTTTATTAGTTTTGCTTTAGATTTATTTTATTATTTTTAATTTTATTTTTCTTTAGTTAATTACTTTAGTTAATTTAATTTAATTTTATTATATACTATTCTATTATAAGTCGTTTTGTTTAAAAATATTATATTTTATATACTGTTTTATTTTTTTAAGCAAATAATTTGGCTTTAAATAAATTAATTTCATGTAATTAATTTATCGTACACAAAAGATTCCTACATTTTTTTTTAGTTTACTTTCATTTAATTTATGTTATTCTATTTTATTTTATTTTTATTACAATAAATTTGTTTTTTTTTACTTAATTAGTTTAATCGAATTTATTAAGTTTTTTTGTTTAAAAATATATTACTTATTAATTTCTTTATTTTAATTTTTGTTATTGTAATATATTTTCTATCTATATATTCTAAGTATGTTATTAGGTTTCAATTAAATTTATTTTATGTTAGCTGTGTATAATTTTATTTAATAAAATTTTAAATTTTTATTTTTTATTTAAAATATCCTACATTATTTTTGTTAATTTGATTTTGCTTAGTTTTATTATACTATAATTTATTATATTTCATTTTAATTTTTTTCAGCTTGATTTAAATTGTTTTATTTTATTTTTACAGTTACTTATTTTATTTGCTTATTTTATCTTTCTAGTTTTAATTTATTTAATATTATCTTACTTTATTTTTATTTTGAGATTTCACTGTAGTTTACTCAATTCTTTTTTAATTCAAAAAATATTTATTAGTTTATTTAAGCTATTTAATTTAAAAAAATATTATTTTTTTATATTGTTTTAAATCGATTTTATATCAATTCATCTTGTACTGTCTTATTTTAATTTAACTATATAAATAAATTTTTTGTTGTATTTTATTCTTCATTTAACTTTATATAAGTTTATTTTATTTTCATTTTAATTTATTTTACTTATCATATTTTACTCCATTTTATTTCCTGTTTTCATTTAATTAATTTTGTTATTTTCTTAAGTTTTTTTACTGTTTAACTTAATTTGTTTTTAATAATTTTATATACTTTTATTTAGTTTAATTTTATTTTACATTAATTTATATTATCCTATTGAATTTTATTAATCCTATTTTCATTTCAATATTACTGTTCGGTTTCAATATTTTTCACAAAAAAACTCTCCACAAACACGACACACCAAAGTGACAACCAAAAAACAAAACATTTTAATTGGTTTAAAAAAGGTTTTCATTTGTAAATATGTATAAAAATATATGTACATAATCTCTATTAATTTGTTGTTGCGACTAATTCTTGCCTATTGTTAAAAGTATTTC